CACCAGGCTACAGAATGCTGAGTCAGCAACAGGAGCGTGGCAAAGCTGGCAAACGTACATTTAGCTAATTAGATTTGGGGATGTGAAAAACTGGTCCATTTGGAATGTACCGGTAGCTGTAAAACAATTGCAACCTAGTCTAGCACACACAAGAAATTTGCTTGGTCTTGCTTAGCGTTTGCTGATATATCTACTGAAATTTTGCTTAATGTCCTGTTTTTTCGTTTTTTTTGCAGTCCTTGCACATTCAGTCTCATATTTTTAGTGTAATGCTCTGGGCTTTTACAAAATGATACCAAAGATACACATAGAAGTATCAGAAGATTAAAGTTGATAAGGTGTATGATATAACTGCATTATACTTCTGCTTAAATTGCTTGGAAACTTTTGAATTCATCCAATTTTATGATTTTTTTGCTGCAAGAAGATCTGAAATTCAAGAAATCAAATTGGCATGGTCAATAGATTTATACAGTACACTACGTAGTGCTCACATCTGCACATCACTATTTAAAATCTTCACAGTGAAGAATTTAAATAGTGATGGGCAGATGTGAGGAATGAAGGGCTTTAAATTGGAAATTCTGAAGATAAATATACAGACTGGTAATAAGGCCACACCAATTTAATTTCTTGGTTAACGGATTCGCCCGCTTCATTTTTTTCTGATTTGCGAATAAAAATGAAAATTCAGAATCAACTACAAAATGCTCATATTTTGTCCTGAACAGTTGAAAACAGTCCTTTTCTTCCTAGTCGTTACAGTTATTCTATCTATCAATGCAGTGTTATCATTAAAGTTTCAAAATTCATTTTTTTTTAAATTTTGAACCAGCCTGGTGTGTTGACTTCATGGCTCCTATCATACCATTTTGGTCCATAATAGGATGCCTAGGCCTGTTTTTATTTTTATTTCGCCCGCCCGCTCCATTATTTTTGCAGAAAAATCCGATAACCAAGAAATTAAATTGGTGTGGCCTAAGTGAAGGTTTCAAATAGTGGTGTGCAGATGTGAAGAATGAAGGGCTTTAAATTTGAATTAGTGTCAAGATAAGTATATACAGACTACTTGTGGTAGTAAGTTGTACTTTCCAGTATCAGGGCCACTGTATCTGGGTTGAAAATACTACCTGCATATGCAGGTTAATGAAGGTAAAATTGGAGCTGTGCAGGTATTTCTAACGACTACCTGCACCGGCAGGTACAAAAGTCTCTGTTGTTTTGTCATGTCTGACACATGTATGATTATCATGCATTACCATTTCATCCAGCTGTGTATTACACACATCCACCTCTTCCTGTTCTCTGCTAACACTGATAAGAATGTACTTCTTGTAGACAAAGCCATGCTAGTTACCTTCGTCGAGAAGGCTATGTATTAGATTTGTGGACTTAATCATAATGACACTCTCGTTGTGTTTCAGTTTGATGTATTCTAAGGCCACAACTTGATGTATTCTAAGGCCACAACAATTTAATTTGTTGTTTCTCTGATTTTTTCAGAAAAAATATGAAGCGACAGGGCGAAATAAGAAAAAAAAACAGGCCAAGGCACCACATGATAGCTGGAAATGTTACAATATCAGCCATGAAGTGAACATACCAGGCTGGTTTGTAATTAAAACAATAGATTTTGAACTTTTAATGAAACAAAATTGCACTGTTAAATTGCATTGAAAAACTTAAACGACTAGGAAGAAAAGGACTTTCTTCAACCGTTGGGGCTAAAATATGTCTTTCATTGAGCATTTTGCAGTTGATTTGGAACCAAAAAAATTTTTTTTTTTGCAAATTAGAAAAAAATAGCCAAGGCAAATCCGAGAAACAACAAATTAAATTGGTGTGGCCTTATGATATTTGGTAGGGACAATAAAGGTCAAAGTCAATTACGAGTAATGTGACAGCTTTGCTCCAGTGTACATGGGTATATTATAATGATATCTCGTACTGTGGACTTGCTATGGTCATGATTTTTGAGTGCGAAAAAAGGTTGTTGGGTAATGGGTACCTAGCTGACATAGTTTTAGTTAGATCACTGAGCTCCAGTTTAGGCCACACCAATTTAATATGTTGGTTAATGGAGTCGCCTGCTTCATTTTTTCTGATTTGCAAAAAAAAAAGCACTCAACAACACATCAGCCTCTGATTCAACTCCAAAATGCTCATTTTGGCAATATACTGAGGCTATAGCAGTCAAAAGTTTTTCCATCTATCAATGCAGCGGTTTGATTAAAAGTTTGAAATTCATTATTTGAATTACAAACCAGCCTGGTATGTTGACTTCATGGCTCCTATCATTCATAACATTTGGGGCTATCATAGGATGCCTAGGTCTGTTTTTGTTTTATTATTTTCACATCGCTTCATATATTTTCTGAAAAAATCCCAGAAACAACAATTCAAATTGGTGTGGCCGTACCATGTTTCATAGTGATTTCCCTATGTCAATATTCTGCAAATGAATGTTCTTTACATTCTTATGTCAAGATGTCTTGTTCTTTTTTGCAGGAAGTCAAAGTTAACTGGGCTACAACACCAAGTGGAAATAAAAAGGATACTAGTAGTAAGTATAATTTCCTTCTTTCCTAGGATGGGGAATGTTGTGTTTTCTGTTGTGTTTGTGTATTCACAGTAGTTAAACTCACATAGTGCTACATACCTAAACCCACATTTAGGTTCAGGTCCAGATTCAAGTCCAGAGGTTTAGGTTCAGTTCCGGACTCGTAAGTCCGGACCTAAACCCATGCCATGTACAAGACTGCATGTTGGCAACCTTGCAATGTTGTCTGGGTGAAACTTTGGCCACACAACATGTAACATGGAGGCTGACACTTGACGATGCCCAATGGCAATGTTTTCTTCATTTTGCAGCAAAGATTTGCAATCTACGGAAGGTTTTAGGTGGTTTGGAAAGAAAAATATGTGAAATGGTCTTTATGGTAATAAGTCCGGACTCGGTTCTTAACTTTTAGGTTTTTATGGACTTGAACCTAAACATTCTTACAAGTCTGGATCCAAGTCCAGTGAACAGGTACACAGCACTAAACTCACAATGGGTATTTGTTTGAAGTCACAAATGATAAATGTTTAAAAATACAGTAAACGGTCTAAATACGCGTAGGCATCCTAGAACAAAGACATTTAGCACAAGCGCGTAAAGACATTTGTGCAGTGCTACCATGGATTACATGCAAATCATCGAACATTTCCCAAAAAATTAATTTTGAGCCCTGATACACTTTCTGAAGGTTTGAAATATCAGATTTTGTGTTTTTTTGACTAAAAACTACTTATAATGTATCATGTAGCATCTTATTTTCTATCAGGCAATTTTATCTAATTTACTTGTATTCTTTGTTTAGGGACAGAGACATGGCTTTCAGTGTTTTAATTTTTCGTGGTCCTGAGGCCACACCAATTTAATTTCTTGGTTAACAGATTCGCCCGCTTCATTTTTTCTGATCTGCAAAAAAAAAATTCAGAATCAACTGCAAAATGCTCATATTTTGTCCTGAACAGTTGAAAACAGTCCTTTTCTTCCTAGTTGTTACAGTTATTCCATCTTTCACTGCAGCCGCTGCGGTATCATTAAAAGTTCAAAATTCATTGTTTGAATTTGAACCAGCCTGCTGGTGTGTTGACTTCATGGCTCCTATCGTACCATTTTGGGCCATAATAGGATGCCTAGGCCTGTTTTTCTAGAAAAATCCGTTAAACCAAGAAATTAAATTGGTGTGGCCTGCACAGCAGATATTATTATTAGTGTACAATAAGTCCTTCATGACCTATGTTGTATTATGACAACATTTATGTAATGTCTGGCAACAGAAATATCTTTCAAGTGTGTATCAGTTTGCCACTTATGCGATCGGTTGATACGAATGCAATTTATTATAAAGAATGCAGTATGTATTCCAATTACCATATTCCTTTTGACGAATATTTTTCACGAAACAAACAACAAAAAGTTAGCTGCTCTGGGGAACTTTCGAGATGCATTTTGTCTCTTCTTCGACCCGGTAAGATATCGTCTTGGAGTTCTCTTGTCACGTGACTTGACGTGATTATCACGTGACAAGAGACAGTATTTATTCTAATAAAGGGTGCCGTTTTTTGTCATTTCAAATTTCAAGTAGGTACTTCAGGTGAAAGTCAAATTTATTTTTTTCCTCAACAAAAATTACACACACACACACACACACACACACACACAAAAACATAACCTCCTGGTAAAGTCATTTAATTCTGTTTACGGAAGGAAGGAAAACATATTGTCTTTGCTCAGTTTCTTCCTCTTCTTCTTCTCCAAACAGTGAGCTCTGACCTGACCAATGACATGATTTGTTGATGTCTGTCACCATGCTGACTGGTGTTGGGTTACATAATGTTGCAATTTCATGGTCTGCTCTGCTCCTGTCACCATATACTAGTAGTACATGTGTGTGAATGTGTTTGAGTAAGAATTAACAGAGCAGACCATGCCCGAAGGTAAACATTATGCTTTTGCTTTGCAAATGTTACTTATCTAGTTTTGCATGTGAATTAACTATTGGTCTTGCTGTGTCTTTCTGTTTCAGACCACTACCATGTTTTTGTCGGAGACTTGAGTCCAGAGATTGACACCACAGATCTCAAGGCTGCCTTTGCTCCCTTTGGGAAGATCTCGTAAGAAATCTGCTACACATTTTGCCATGACGTGTCACAGATACATGTTTATTCTGTGTGGTTATATTAGCCAGTTACTTGAGTTTTTTGAAGAGAAGATGAAATGGATGAATGCTGGGAAACCCTTTTATACATTGTTTCAAATTTAAAGGCATGCAATGCAATTTCAGGGCAGCAAAACTGGATTTTCAAAGTCAATTTTCTGGTCATTCTCTTAGTGTAATAAGTTGAATCAACCCTATCCCATAGAGTACTGACATCTGTGTGACAAAAATGCACTGTCACCGATGGAAAATCGTACTAGGCTGCTTCTAGCTATTTGTGGGTGGTACCCAAAAATACAGAGATGCCTCATGTAGCTTGTTTTGGTGCTCTGCTACTTAGAAATGGCAGTGATTGTCGGACAGATTTTCTCATCCAGAATATTTTGTGTTTTGCTGCCCTAAAATTTCACTGGATGCCTCAAAGTTAAGACCTATATAATTACACTTTTTCAAATCTAGCTTTTTGAAAAATATGAATATGACGTCAGCATTGGTCCCAATAATTTTCTTGCGGCAAATTGCAGTACATAATAATAAATATCATTATACACCTGCTGGACACCCTCTGGACACCCTTGTGCAGCTGGCAGTGGTACGATCTAATTGTTTGGGCTGTTGTTAAAGAGTATGCCGGGTTGTACCACTTAGACAAGTAGTTTAACATAGGGGTGTCTGGCCCCGATAAAAAAAAAGGTTTTCATAGATTGCAGGTGTACGAAGGGGTCGCTGACCTATTTGTTGCACAACAGCTGTTAATTAACATTCAACAGGTGCAAGCTGGCAGCACTGTGGGCTATACCACAATACTTTCAGGAAAGGGGGGGAGGGTATCCTATTTTGTGAATTATGATTGTGACATCACCCAATCTTTTTTTCTTATAGCGTTACTCTTATTGTTGTTAGTTTGATATCTGAATGTTTCAGCAGTCGTGATTATCATGAGTTATATACTTCCCAGAGTTCTTGTCATTGGTTGAATTATAAACCAGCCTGGTATATTGACTTCATAGCTCCTATCATAGCTTTTGGGGCCCAGGGCTGTTTTTTTTTGTCCTGTCAATTGATATTTTTTCAGAAAAAAATCTGAGAAGCAACAAATTATCAAATTGGTGGCCAAATTTATGTTGACCACAAAAATATGCAGAAACACACACACACACACACACACACACACACACACACACACACAGGCAGACACATAGAAAGACAGACAGACATACGCACACACAGACTAAAAACAATACCTCCATTTTTCATAGAGGTAACAAATTGCAACAGACTGCCAGTTACAGTATTTAATATTCACAGTTATTTTTGTGCATCAAACTTAAAGGCTAAAGTATAAAGTTATTGTCATCGTTTTATGAGTTTTGGAGAGAAGTTTATTAAAAGAGGTGATTGGCAGAATTTAAGAAACATTTGTAACATTGTGTTTTTTTTAAATTCATTGAAATTAGTCATTTATAGGCAGAATGAGATTTTATATGGCCCCTTTTCCATTGATATTTTTGTATTTGGACAGAAATCGTGTGTCATTATCAAAACATTTCATGTCCTGATTTTATCAGTGTAATTTCCTCTCAGATAGCCATGCAAGTGTTATGTCAATAATACACTGTGCAGGTGTATGTCCTGAATTTTTTTCAGATGTGAGAAGATTTTAAAGGGTTGTACGTGTAGTTATATGATTAAATGTTGCACCTTACGCTTTGTGAAGGCTTGCATATAATAATTGTTTACTTGATTCCTCTTGCACAGCTGTGACCAATGTACCACAGGCATGTTTTTGGTTTGGATGATTCTTAAAATCTCTCAATTTTGGTCTTCTGGAAAACATAGTATTGGTAGTCTTAATGTTTTAGTTGTTTAGTAAGGCCCTTTGTCTTGTTTGTTTGTTTGAATTACTTCTTTATGATAAGAATCACTTTTAGTTAAAAGGTATGTTATGATCAAAAATTTATTAATTTCATCATTATACCAGTAGTCTTTTGGACATTTTCATATTTTTTATGGATGTACCTGATTCCCAATATGCAAAAGAAAGGAAAACAGCAAGACCCATTCTGCTTTGAAAACTACATCTCAGTACCTTTCTAGGTTGTAGAATGGCTATACATGTCACATGTATGCAGTCTTTGAGTACAAATCCTTGTTAGACATGTAGTTTTCTTAGACTTGTCTGTTGAGCAATTCTTTTTAACGAGCTTGATTTTTTGCTATTCACTATTGTTTAAACTCCTATCGTAGTATTTCTTGCTTCTTTGTGTCATGACTTACATGGCCTAAAACTGTTCTATTGGTCTTTCAAAATTGCAGAGGTTGAACCATTCGCCCCTATCGTATGAGGCGATACTGAGAACTCAGACAACCACTGGCAACAAATAAAACGTGCATTGTGTTACCAGGCTACGTATGCCTTTTCATTCCTATTTTTATTATTTCATTCAACTTTCCAACTTTTCCATCAGCTGTGTCAGTTTAGTAGTTGTTTAAATATTCCACAAGTTGGGAAACCTCAGAACTTTTGGAGGATGTGCATGGTTCAGTGCTGTAGATACCGTACCAATGCTACCCTGTGTTGTTTTGGTGTATTATTTATAGCAGTATTTCTGGTGAATTGTTTTTCACCAAATTTCGTGTCCACTATGTTCCTTTAAAATTACATGAATAACTTCTAAAAGAACATCGTGGAACTTGCCCACCCAAAACGTGGCTACGATTTGGTAAACTCGATATTTATGTGCACCTTATTACAAGGATAAGATTTTCTTATAGTTTTTTTTGAGAGTAAACGTGTTGTCTAGATCCATAGTTGCACTATCAGTGTTTTCTTGTGGTAATTTTTCTATCAAACATTGTGTCCCCCGACAAGTGATCTCTTAGACCAAGTTGCACAGTTGCATGTATAATTTTCTACCCATGTAACCAGTTGCCATGTGGTGTGTGAGAAAGACTTTTGCTTAGGTCAGTCAAGTATTTTATTTTAAACGATGGCTTGAAGTTTTAGATTTCGGCTCTGTGTTTGGTAGATGCTGTGTAGCGTACAGGTTGTGATGTTGTTCTCTCCGGTTGCTTGCAGGGATGCCCGCGTGGTGCGTGACGCGCAGACCGCCAAGTCCAGGGGATACGGATTTGTTTCCTTTGTCAACAAAGTGGTACGTGTTTGTTTGTTTGTTTCGCATAATCGGTACACCGCCTTTAGGCGTAACACACCAGTTTTGTACATGTACAAGCTGCGTAAGACCGGATTGTAAGGTTTGAACCACTGACACCGGGAAGGTCCCCTACTCTTTTCGATAAGTGCGGTGGGTTCTTTTAACGTGCGTCGGGTGTGGCTCTCCTCAAACACGGCACCTCCATTTAACGTCCTATTCGAGGGACGTCCCTAACCGAAACTAGGTACTCATTTCCACCTGAGTGAAGTGAGGAAAGTCGTGTTAAGTGCCTTTCACAAGATCGGTGACATGGGTAGGATTCAAACCCCCGACCTCTTGGGTGTGAGCCGAACGTGCTACCGACTGCACAACACGACCTTACATACAGTGTTGACATACAGTACAGTCTTACTCTATAGACGAATTTAACATTGCAATCTGCAAATGAAACCTTTGCAAGACCAAATCAAATCATGATTGCATAAAATATCCTTTTGTTGTTTTTTTTAAAGGTAGTATCTCTTTTTTTCAATCCTCTGAGTGTGTTTATACCTTTGATTCTACATGACGTTGCTTATGTTAATTGTATTTTAAACAAAATTGCTTGATGTTCATATGTCAGACTATGCTTGATTGGCCTTTTCAATCATCAGCAGTAGATAGAAATGGTATGTAATTTCCAGCCTTGAAATACAACCTGTTATTGCAGGTTAGTGCAGGTAAAATTGAGTTTGTACTGGTATTTCTGATGTCTACCTGCACCTAACCTTTACCAGTCCATACACTGGGTTTATACATGTAAATGTATGTGAAATTTCATTTACTACTTTGACTCTATATAAGAAATAGTTTGTACCTACTAGTAGTTTTTAGTATGATGCATACAATGTACTATAGTCTTCATAGTCAAGTCTTTGTTTTTTGCAGGAGGCAGAAAATGCCATTGGGGCCATGAGTGGTAAGATATATTTTATTACATTATGTACGTATGCAGGGCTCAAAATATCACCTACATATGCAGTGGAGTGCAAGTAAAATTGGAGCTGTGCAGGTCTTTCTGATGCCTACCTGTACCTAACCTGCAGGCCTTATATATTATGCACTGGCAAAATTTAATTTTATCTGATCTTCTCTAAGTTATGCACTCAGTGTGCCCACTGTGATCTTTATGCACTCGAAACTTATGCATTTTCAGTATTATAGTTGTTTAAATAAGTCTGTATTTCCCAACTACATAGTACATGTACAAGTAGTTGCATAGAACAAGATTTAATTTGCTACTTAGGTGGCCAATCATTTGATGCATACTATATCTTCATAGCTGAAAAGTCACCTCTGTTTTGTCTCCAGGTCAGTGGTTGGGTGGTCGAGCCATCCGAACCAACTGGGCAACCCGTAAACCTCCACCTCCAAAGTCAAACGAAGGTACAACTGGACGTATGTTACAACAATGATTATTATTTTTATCATACATTTATCTAAGGGTGATAATTGCCTTCGACAGAAGGGTATAAAATCTAAGGGTGATAATTGCCTTCGTCAGAAGGGTATAAAATCAGTCTGCTTTAGTGTGGGAAACTGTTGATTTAGCGACATAACTCTTGAAGGCATTGATTGACATTCATGGTTTTTGGAAGGCAGGTTACCGTTGGAGAGACCAAGGTCAAGTGCAAAAATGGGCTTCGTGGGGGGTCCCTACGACACTGCGGTTGACTTTTTGTATTTGTCGTTTTTTGCTAGAAGGATAACTCGTCGACGAGTATATGTAAATGGTGTTCATGATTTTTGGTAGGCAAGTTACCAAGTTGAAGTTCGAAAATGGGTATTTCTTGTAACATTTATTTTTTTCCAGTAACTGTCCAAAATTAAATTACTTGGGGGGGGGGGTAACACGAGTAACAGCGCATCTGCAAATCTGTGACGAACTCTTCCAGGGTGTTCGGTAGAGTAAAAAAAGGAGTACAAAGATTCTTTTGTACTCTTTATACCAAATCGATTATTTAAAAAAATACACATATTCATTTCTCTAGAACAATGTCCCTCTGACGAAGGCATAAGATCTCACACCTCTAATTATTACTAAGTTTATAAGTTTATTATTAAGATGTCATATTGACTTTAAAGCTATGTAGTGGGGTGTAAGGTACTAAATACATATCTCTTTTGTTCTGTTCTCTCAGTCATAGTGGCATTTCATAATACAGTACATTTATAGTTGAAGAGATTCATTTGTCAAGTATAGATACAGTTACTAGAGGATTCTTTCAACAGTGACAAGTTGGAAGGGTAAGGATACTGACCTCCAAATGGACTGATAGTCATCAAAAATTTGGATCCTTACACTTCCAACTTGTCACTGTTGAAAGAATCCTCTAGTAACAGTGCATTTAGTAGATTTACCTTATACAGTACATTAACATGGCAACTGGATCAGGGAGGGCCATTGAAAAAATGGCTTTGGGCAGGGTCATCTTAAAATAGAAACTGGCTTGGAGGAGGGCCATCAAAAAATTATATGGGATATCATTATATACATGTACCTGTGCTGTTTCAACAACGCTATTGCTCCAGTTTTTATTGTAATTTGTGTAATGCAAAGAGACACAAAAAGTGGGGGGTGGGCCATTGAAAAAAATTGTGTTGGAGGGGAGGCCGGGTTTTTTTTTTGCTGAGGGAGGGCCAGTGAATATTTTTGGGCCAGGGAGTGCCATTGAAAAACTTTTGTACGGAAAGCTCTTTGCGCATCGTACATATAGAATACAACACGGGGTATTCCGTATTGCCTGAGGTATTGGCCAGAAGGCTGGAGGGAGATCCGATATGCAGGAGGGCTGGGACCGAGGGTGATGCGGAATACACCATGTTGTATTTTATTTATGTCATACCCACCCAAGAAAACGTGCCTTTCAATGCAAAATGAGCCCAAGTTTGGTGTTCCTAAACTAAAAAATGCAACAACATCAATTCCAACATCTGAATTTTGATTTCTAATTTTCAAAAGCGGCGCACACGGTTAGGGCAAAACGCGTTCGAATCGTTCTGTGGAAGCCAGGGAAGCCGTTATCGAATGTTATCCCGGCACGGGTATGATTTAAATACATGTATGTGATGTATATTGTACTTGCTTTTAAAGTTTTATACAGTAAATTTGCCACATTTAGTACTTTTTGTTGAATACAGAAGTATGAGGACGTGTGTACAGTACTGAATGTTGGACCTCCCGTTTCACAGGTCAGAAGCAGCTGTCCTATGATGAGGTTTTGTGCCAGGCTAGTCCAACAAACACAACTGTGTATTGTGGGGGCATCACAAAAGGGCTGACAGGTATGTTCCAGGTGTTCTTAGACACCTGAGACTAGTGCTCACTGTGTACCGGTTCGCTGGGCCGGTTCCGGACTTGTAAAAATTTAAGCATGTCGGCAGAACGTACTGCACCTGCGCGAAGCCCGTAATGTATTATACATAGCATTTTGGCAGAACGTCTCATATAAGGTTGTATTTGCGCATATAAGTTTAGCATTTTGACAATACTTTCCAAATGTGCAATGTGCAAATCTGCAACAGGCAAAATTCTGATGCAACGTTGACCAAAAACCCAATGAAAAACACGAAAATACAGGGTTCTGCGCAGGCGCAGTACGTTCTGCCGACGTGCTAAAATGTATAGGTTCAAGTAGTAAAAAAAGTTAAAAGTCAAGATCTGGACTTAAAAAATAAATATTGCTTTTCTTTCAAAACTACCTAAAATCTTCCATAGATTGCAAAATCTGTGCTGCAAAATGAAGAAAGCATTGCCATTGGGCATTGTCAAGTATCTTCCTCCATGTTGTGTGGCCTAAGTTTTGCCCAGACAACATTGAAAGGTTGCCAGCATGCAATTTTGTATATGCCATGGGTTTAGTGTCCGGAACTGAACCTAAACCTCTGGACTTGAACCTAAATGTGGGTTTAGGTACACAGCACTACCTGAGACACTACAAGTTAGGACTGTGTATCTTTACCTGAAAAATGTAAAAATTGTTCAGGTGTCAAGAGTACCTGTACCACTTTAACTCACTCACACTCACTGTGAGTGGGATTAATAGATGGAAAGAAACAAAGGTTAAATATGACAATTTAAGAGAAAAATTAGGAGAACTTGTAAATATTCTGCTCTTAGATTAAGCATTCGTAATTCCCCTACAAAGATGATACTTTGATACTTTATTCGGGTATCCATTAGTTGCACAATTTGCACAAAAGATGACAATTCACTATGAAAAAAAAAAACAGTTGGCCACATGTATAACTTAAAAATAATTGGCCAATCTTGTCAAGGCTTTACCTAATCTGTTGTTTTTGTACCCAACATTTTTTTGTACCCAACAAATTTTTTGACTCATAATAAAATTTCGTTAGTAATAGTTAGTAATACTACTTACTACTGCTGCTTGATACTGAATGTTAGAAGGTTTTGTCAAAAATGTCATGTTTGTATTTTTTCTTACAGAGGATTTGATGCGCAACACATTTTCTAACTTTGGACCTATCCAAGAGATCAGGGTATTCCCAGAGAAAGGCTACAGTTTCATCAGGTCAGTGTCTCCACAAGGACTGTGAAAATTATTAATACACATAAGGCCACACCAATGTAATTCATTGTTCCTCGGATTTAAAAAAAAATTGGAGCGACGGGGCAAAAAAAAAAATTTAAAACTTAAGTGCATTAAACCATGGACCCCTGTCGTGGGACAGTCAGGGTGTGCATTGTTAATCATCGCAGCAAGTCAGAGTATAATTATTCCGTATCAAACTTTGCCAGTCATGTATATATAGAATACAACACGGGGTATTCCGTTTTGCCCATTAGGTATTGACTCACGGGAGGGCCGGGACCGAGAGCGATGCGGAATACACCGTGTTGTATTTTATGCAAATTGCAAGATGAGCCCAAGTTTGGTGTCCATAAACTAAAAAATGCAACAACATCAATTCCAACGTCGGAATTCAGTATTCGAATTTTCTAAAGCGGCGCACACGCTTAGGGCAAAACGCGTTCGAATCGTTCTATGGAAGCCAGGGAAGCCCGGTCTGGGACCCGTTATCGAACGTTATTGCACCATGATATAATACTGTGTACAGTAGATTCTATAAAATGAAGCTGAGAAGAAATGCTGGAAAATGTTTGAAAACATAGAGGACTGTGTGTGAAAAACAAAAACAGCATCATACAGCAGAACATCAGTCAACTCCTGTGCCTGAAATGTTTCCCCCAGGTTCTTCTCCCATGAAGTGGCAGCCATGGCCATTGTTACAGTAAATGGAACACAGATAGAAGGACAGGCAGTCAAGTGCTCGTGGGGGAAAGAGTCCAGCGACCCTATGAACCAGTACCAACAGGTAAACCAACCTGTCAACGTAAACAATGTACATTGTACTTGCAATAAACCTTCTCACAGAGATGAACATGTATCATGCCTGTAGCCAGGGGGGTTTGGGGGGGTTCGGAAGAACCCCCCACAAGGGTCAAATGTCCACTTTTTGGTCCACTTTTTATGTTAAGGTCCCCTTTTTGGTCCACATTTTATGTAAAGGTCCAAGATTTTTTTTAAAAAGATAGACTGGAATCGTAGAAAAACTGATCCTTTTGTCATTGAATAAAAATTTATATCTGATTTTTTCTTTGAAATCCTCTCAAAAACACATGAAATGCCATTTTAGAAGGTTCATTTTTCAAAATTTTCTGGTGGAAGCATGCGCCTTCGGTGCTTGAGGTCCCCTCAAGCAGTGGGAAGAACCCCCCCCCCATTAAAAATCCTGGCTATGGGCATGTGTATTGAGGGCAACTTGCATGTGTATTGTGCCCAGTCTATCTTGTCATGGTGTGTACTGTAATTCACTTTGAGTTCACGGTGGCAAAATTTCACGGTGAGAAAAAAATCGAGGTGTTCACGTACTGATATGTTCACGGTGGCGGCAGGGGAATACTAGTACTAGTTACCGTAAGAAAGTTGGTGGAAGCGTGAAGCGCTGCAGTCCCCGCGAATCCCCCATACTTTTATCGGACCGCACATAATAAAGTCCAAATATTTTTCACGCAAGATCGCCGGCTATGTAATTTTTTAGCAAAACGCTACGGTGGTTTGGGGTCAATATTTCGTTATTTTCAGCAGTTAAAAATTCACACCAAACTGATGGCTCGCGCTGCGCTGAGAATCTCACGGATTTGTATCGTATTTATTTATTTATTAATAAACGCGAAGGACCAGACATCGAACTGTTTGATTTTCACTCGGCTATTCAAAGACGAACTTGTACAATACATGTTCAAAAACAAGAAAAGTTTGTTTCCCGGTATTTAACTCTTGAAACACGGCGCTGAATTGACGTCGCAAAATATTTCGTGCGCCGCGCACCCTCCCCCATGCAAATCCTGCGTCACGTGCCCGTATTTCGTATTTCGCGTCTCTGATTGGTTGTTGCGTCAAGCAGCAGAGATGCCGGCGGTAGAATTTGAGCCAGCCGAGGCGCTTGTAAACAACTTTTCTTTGTCTAAATATAAGCGCTAAAATGCTCTTTTTCACAACCACACATCGATATTCCAGTAAAGAAATGCATAGTTCCAAGAATATTTCGGGGAAATATATATTTCTATGCGGATTTTGGGCGTTTTCGACGTGATTTTGGTGAGCACTTTTCCCGGAAGTACGGGCCTCGGCGTGGGTTGTCTTGTACCCACGCTAAATTTTTAGCGTATTTACCCTGCGTTTTACCAATCAAAACAATAAAGAACTCCCGCTAAGGAGAACCCAGTAACATTCTAGATCCCAGCAATTCAGGTTTTGATCAAATAATTTGTGGATGTGCCAGCATTTTATCGGGATGGGATAAGCGACCTCATGCACCGGGCCGTGCCGTGTAACGTTACGCTAAGATTTTTGTACGTAGTTGACTCGACTTGACACGCGATTCGGTGTCTCATAATACATGTATAATTTCTAATATTAGTTATAGCATTATAATAATTTTGATACTACAGTACTCAACAGTAGCTCATTTGTTATCAAATATACGGAACATCGTTACATGAAAAACATAAGACGTGAATAATTTATTGCTGTTCGGGGCGAAGGAGTGTTAGCGGTTTGATGAGTTCACGGTACAGAAGTGACCGTGAAAACCGTGAACATATCAGTATCGTTAAAAAATCAGTAATTACAGTAGTTTGCCCTTTGTGTTACCCACAATTCCAGTGTCTCCCAGCATGCAATGGGATTCCTGAAAGGACTGTCTCTGGATGTCATCAATGTTGTTTGGCTCTGAGAAAAATGTCATTAATCATTAATTTAATGTAAAAAATTTTGACTACATGTGGAAAGGCCGACATTTGCTCGGGAGCAAATACAGCGTATTTCAGTCCATCTCCCTCCTCATAAAATGGACTGTTCCAAAAGTAGAACATTCCAAAATAACTTCTACCCAAAGGATCGTTATTTGCCAAGTCACCCAAGTTTGAAATGGAGCCTTCCCAATTTCGACACCAATTGAAAAATTGATTGTTCCTGTAGTCAAGAATGGACTCTTCCATCTGCTTCATGTCCGAAAATATTTCAGTTAGAAGGAAAAGTAATAATATTTCAGCCATACCATGGTATACTGCAGACTGAAATATAATGATTCTGATTTGAGAAGATACAAAATGTCTCTAAAAAACAAGCATCTTGCAAATGTTTTTACAATCAATCAACTTTATTGCTCAACAACTGTAGCTGGTACAATGCATGGCAAAGAAACAACAATGGTACATACATAAACTAATACTAAAATATGATTCTAACAAGCAAATCTATTGTGTTTTCTTAGGAAGAGTATTATTACATTATTGCATTCAGGGGATATATCAGCTATTTACAATATGGTGTCGCTTTTGTAGTGATTCAAATATGAATTTTCCAACTTATGTTGATAACTTCGTAGGACATGAAAGGAGCATATTAAAGATATCTGATTTTGAGTGAGGTAGTGTAACATTAGTTTTGGAAGCTATGGATTGCATCTACTTTTGTCTGTTTTCTTCATATGTTGGACATGACATCATAATTAAAGTGGAATTTGTCTTCAATACCCTCCTGCATGTCAGGCACAATCTCTGATCGGCTGGTGTAAAATTGAAATTGTCTCTCTTTACAGCAGGGATATGGCGGAGGCTGGGGTGGAGGTTATGGTAACATGTACGGTAACTACCAGGGTGCCTACTGGCAGTATCCTCAACAACAGTACATGATGGGAGGAGGAGGCCAGCAGGGCTGGGCAGCTGGAAGCTATCCCCAGGTTTGTTTGTTTGTTCGTTTGTTTATTTCTCTAACCAAGAGGTACATATCGCTGAGGGAACTTTTCAATGTTTCCTGGGGGGGGAAAACCCCAAACAAAAAGCCGTTAACAACAAAATCAACTCAGTCCAAATTACAACAAAAGAAACAAATAAAGTCACTCAAATTACAAGTTGATAAAAGAATTTTAAAAAGTACCTTAAATAACATACATGATACATGTACATAAAATTACAACCAAAATAGGTTCAGGGAAAACTTGGGGTCCCTAGCAGGTTGTTACGGTAGTGCAGCAGAACGTTCGGTTTAGATATCTCCTGATCTGGACAAACTGGAGACACAAACTTTTGATGCTTGGGAAGAATAAGTGACATACATTTTGTTCCCCTAGCACCCTACTCTGGAACTGCAGGAAGGTTTCTTTAAAAGGGAGGATAACTGGTTTTTGGTTGTCTTCCATGCAGTAGTGATTTTCTAGGATTTGTGACTTGCTTTAAGTCTTATTTGTAATATGTAAAGCTGATAAGTCTAAGATTTGAATTAAATATTTTGTGTACAGAAACCGCAATTCAGCACTGGTGCTGCAAAGGTTTTTTCTATTGAATGAACAATTCTCTCTCTCTCTTTCTCTTCCTGTTTCAAAAACTTTAGATGCTTGGGAAGAAGGGACATAAGTTTTGTTACCCTAGCACCTAATTCTGGAACTGCAGGAAGTTTTCTTTAAAAATCTTTTCAGGGAGAATAAGTGGTTTTTGGTTCTTTTCCAGTAGTGATTTTCTAGGATTCGTGACTTGTTTTAAGTCTTACATGTATTTGTAATATATCATGCTGATAAGTCTAAGATTTGAATGAAGTATTTGTGTACAGAAACCGCAATTGAGCACTGGTGCTGCAAAGGTTTTTTTTTTTATATTGAATGAACAATTCTCTCTCTCTCTCTCTCTCTCACACGCAAACTTTTGATGCTTGGGAAGAAGGGACATAAGTTTTGGTCCCCTAGCACCTTATTCTGGAACTGCAGGAAGGTTTCTTTGAAAATCTTTAACTGGTTTTTGGTTGTCTTCCACAGGGATGGAACCAGGGCTACAGCATGAGCGGCCAGATGGGGAACTGGATGGGGGGCGGGCAGCAGCAGGGCTTCGGAGGCAGTCAGATGGGACAGCAACAGCCAGGCAACGGGATGATGCCCAGCCAGGGTTACATGCAGCCCCAACAGTACCAAACTCAGTAGCACTCAAGTCAACAACATCTTATGTTAGCACGAACATTCATCCTTGTTGGCAGTTGACATAGCATAGAGCTAAAAAGAACTGATCTAACAACAATCGAATTTGACTGTCTTTCTGCAGTATATTCCTCAGAATTCAAGTGTTGGACCTCCTGGATCAAGTGACCATGCAGACAGTCGATGTAGTTGGCCAAAAATTTTCTGACATTGTCGTGTAGTCCAGGCTATCAGTCACTTGACTGCTGAGGAAGGCCGCAGTCGAAAAGTCTGGAATTTGATTTCTGTTTTAGCTCTGTGCTATGTAACAACATCTTATACACACCTCAGCAGATCCAGGCAAAACCCCAAATGATTTATCCATCTTAGCTTGTTTAAATTAGTCCACCTTTAACTGAGACTGTTTAGGCCACTCCATTGAGTTTGTGTGTTTTTATCAGTTAAGAATAAATGATAAAGCAGCAGGATTATGAACTTGAATAATATGGAAGATGTACAGATACATTATGATGACTATGTTGTACTTTTTCAACTCAACCTTTGGATGACTGATTGGTCCCCTTTCTTGTAGATAATGTCTGTGTTTTCTAACTGGAAACTGCTCTGATCCTTTTTGACTGACTTTACTTAAAGATAGGCCCAATTCGTTCTTGAGGACTCGACTTGATTAAGATTTTATAAGTAGTTATCCCGAGCACCTTTGTCATCGAGAAGTTTTGCTTT